CTGAGAGAGGAAGAGGGATACAAGGGTGAGGAAGGACAGAGGCTCCAGTTGTCATCAGCTTCAGGACTTTTATATAACACCTTGACACAGCTCTCTGAATCAAATACAGACAGAGAGACAGACAGTGAAACCAACAGATATACAGATAGAGAGACAGACAGTGAGACGCAGACAGAGACAGAGACAGATACACAGACAAAGAGACAGAGGGTGACAGTAAGACAGACCGTGAGAAGGACAGAGACAGATGCACAAACAGAGAGACAGGGAGACGGAGACAGTCAGGCACACAAACCGATAAAGAGACAGACAGGAGCTCCAGGAACACTCTGGTGTTTTCGTGTTGAAGCTCAGCTGTGTTGTGGGTGAAAGTCTCTCACCTGCTGCGCTCTGCTGTCCTCAGTGACCGAAGGAGTTTCCCTCACTGCCTGTGTCAGGGTGGGACTGTGGGCTACTTATACTGTCCCTGGAGCCTTGGAGAGTGTGCAGGAGTAATTAACTGGGAGGTGATATCTCTCCAGCTCGGAGAGTTTGTGTGTCTCAATTTAATATTCAAATAGAGAGAATGGAGGAAACCTTCATGTGTTTGGTTGGTGGTTAAGGTGTTGGAGGTCCTTATGTAGTAATTTCTTATCCCCAGCCTTGTACACAGAGGAACAATAACCTGAGGGCTTGTCTAGTGGTGTTTGTGTAGATACAGAACCCTGCTGGTCATCTGTTGTTCCTTATTGCGAAAACTTACAGACAGATTCATCAGGATATTAATTTGAGAGACATCTTCACGTGTCAGTAGTTTCTCCCTGAGGGTCAGGAGATCAGGACACTGTCCAGCTGCTGTCCAGTCACAGTGGTCAGCTGTGCCGGATACCTGTATGTACCCAGAGTGACCCCAGTGTGCTCAGTGACCTAGCAAGTTAAAACGTTGAGGGATTTAATCTTTCAGAGGCTTTTATACAGCTGTCTGTGGACCTTTACTTGTTTCAGGTCTGTTGTTTTATCTAAGACTGTCTAGGTCTGGAGGGTCAATTAGTCTGTGAGGTGCAGTCCTGGTCCTGCAGGGTCAGTTTGTCTGTGCAGGGGGTCCAGGCCTGGTTCTGGAGGGCTTTTCCACTGTACTGGAACTTTAGCCCCTATTGTAACAGACTGCTCTACTGCACCGGGACTGTTCCGTCCACAATCCTGTGGGCCGGCACCCCCAGGACCAGAACCAGCTGCATCTCCCCCTGAGACACACGCAGGACAGCGGAGCTGAGCGCAGCCACACACACAGCTGGCCTGCGGGCTGGGGGAGGGCGGCCCCCACATGAGAGCAGAGCTGCACTGGCGTCAGGACAGACAGGGCCTCACAGACGCCCGCCTGGGTCCTGTGTACAGATCCTCAGTCTCACAGCTTGACTGTGGCAGTGCTTGTCATTCATTTAAAACTAGAACTGCTTCAGGTGCAGTTTGTGTGTAAACACAGAACCTGAAGCAAATCTAGTTTAATTATCTCTCCCAGTCCTGGCTGTGCAGCCAAATTAACCCAAATCAGGTCAATAAAAAAACAGCTCCTGTGTTGTTCTAAATAAGCCTGCAGCTAGAATGATCTGGAGTTTCAAATCCTGTCAAACAGGACAGTCCTGCCAGCAACTCAGTATCTTACCATACCAGTAACCCACTCCTCCAGTTTCTCCCAGTTCCCAGACCCCATCATTGTTATTTAGAACCTTTTGTTATGCGGGGCCCAACAAGGTGTTGAAACAGGCTCAGTAAAAATTAGAGTTAATGAGCCAGGCTATGCAGCACTCAAGATAATTTATTCAATAACAGCACAGAAGATTGAAGACCACTGAGAAATACTTCCAAGAAACTGAGAAAAACTCAAGGCAGGGTTAGTGACTCGATGTCTGAGCCCTGAGGAATGATTCATCAGGGCCTAAATACTGTGCAATGTTCCCTAATTGGCTTGATCTCGTTGAGGATGGCCCCAGTGAGTCTCCAACATGTGCGGAATGCGCTTTGGCAATTGGTGGCACTAATGCAGCAGTGCTGGAGCTTGTTGGGGCATAACCATGCACACTCCTGAAGGGGCAACCTCTGGGTCCTGGACCAGGCCTTCCGGGGGAACCTCACATGGTATGCCCAGATTAGTGGTGGAGCGGTCAACTGTCTCGCTGGGACCCCAGACTGATCTTCAGCTCCACGCCCCCACCAATGAACAAGGTATTGTAAACTTCTTTGGACCCATCTGGAGTCCAGAGTCCTCTGCAGCCGGGATTCTTCCAAATCCTCCAAATGGAGTGGGCGACTCACCTGACATCACTAGTGTGGGTGCAAGTTTCAGCCGAGACGTGGAATGTCGAGATCTTTGAGCCGAGTGTCCTGGGGAGCACAAGGCGGTAAGTGACAGCATTCACCTGGTCTGTGATTCTGAGTGGGCCAATGTACCAAGGTGCCAGTTCCTTGGAGGTTACCCGCAGTCAGAGATGTTCAGTGGAGAGCCAGACGCGCTGCCCGACCCCGAGAGAAGGATGTCTTCGGCGTCGATTAGCAGTGGCTTCCCGACGTTGGGTGGCCCTCTGAAGATTTGCCCACACAAGTCTCCAGACTTCTTCCAGTTGTCTGGTCCTTAGGTCTGCAGCTGGTACTCTAGAGCTGTGGGAAGAAATCTGAAGGAGAGGTGGTTTAAACCCATATTGGCATTCAAAGGGTGAAACTCCTGTGGCCAAGTTCACCAGGTTGTTGCGTGAGAACTCAGCCCAGGGAAGATGTTGCACCCAATCATCCCGAAATCCCGATATGTGGCACTTGAGGTAGGTCTCATATCCATGGAAGAGGCGGAATGAGTTAACCGTGGAGCCTCCGGAAGAATTTCGGAGCACAGTTCCAAAGGATTGTGCTACATCAGTGGCGCTGCGTCCCAATTTCTTCTGCCATCTCCTGGAGCGGACAGCGGACAGCGGACAGAAAAACTGTGTTGCAAAAGCAGCTGGATTGTTAAACACAAAGTGTGATTGCACCCAGCGAGTCAAGAGCACAGAATCTTCTAAGAATATGTTTATCTCTGCTGTCAGCAAAAGGCAGATGTGAAACCATTTGCGTAACTACTTTCTATCCTGCTTAAAGCAAAAAACCTATTAGGAATGGAAAATGACTGCCTCACCTGTCCTTGAGATGTTATACTAGCTAAAGTTATAAAACAAGGGACTCTCCTCCCTATGTGCTTTGAATCAGCTTCTACTTTCTGCACAGACAGGTGGTTGCTGTTCCCATATTGCAATATGAATAAATGCCTTACTGAGTGAATGAGAACACCTCTCCTGGCTCCTCTTTGATAAAATTTCACAACACCTTTCACTTAGATTCACCAAGACTCATCTCGCCAGCAGCTGTATCACCCTGCAACTCACAGCTGGCAGCCCACTGAAGCTCAGCAGGTGTGAGCCTGGCCAGTACCTGGATGGGAGAATTCCTGGGGAAAAACTAAGCTTTCTGCTGGAAGAGGTGTTAATGGAGCAGTAGGGGGCGCTCACCCTGCGGTCTGTGTGGGTCCTAATGCCCCAGTATAGTGACAGGGACACTATACTGTAAAAAGGATCCTGTAATGGGAACCGGTCCAGGCTCCTGTGAAGCGTAGTTCAGGACCCTGTGCAGACGGTATGATCCAGAGGTAGGTGGGAAAGAGACGACGAGGATGAGGAGGGGTTGACAGACGGGGGGGCGTGACGATGGTGAACTGGTGCTCGGGGGGCGTGGCCAAGGCAGACAAGTCCAGGGGGAAATCTGGGGCGAAGTCCAAAAGTCCAAATCCGGGTGATCCAAACGAGACGGCACAAAACAAAGTTAAAAGCTGGAAGAGGATTCGGGACAGTAACAGGGAAGAGAAAGGGGGATGAGGAGGCCAGGTGCTCCGAGCCCCGGACTCAGCTGGTCAGGACGCTGAGAGGAGGCCTGTGCCCTCAAGCTGTGGGCGTAGCTGTGGTAGTAGGCAGGCCTCCGGGCGTCCGTCTTCCAGGCAGAGCCGGGAGGAGTGAGAGAGCCCGGCTTAGAGAAGGAGGGGCAGGACTGGGGGCAGCTGCAAGGAATTAGAGAAATAAGAAAGAGCCGGAGCGCCCTTAAGAGGAGGGATATCGTATCCCTGGACAGATCCATCCTTTAGATAAGACATAAAACCGAGGTCCTGACCCCCTGAGGGGGTCGGAGTTGCTTGAAAAGTGTAGAGGTGTTACACTGGTGTCCTGGCCTCTGTCGAAGAAAGGTCTTCACTCAGGTTAGGTGTGGTCAAGCAGAGTCCCTTTATACATGCGCATGGGGAGGATATAATCATGGAGATCTGAGAGCAGCCTCTCATGCAGAGCCTTGAGTAACCTCTCCACCGAGATGATAAATGCAATGAGTTTTATACAGCAAATTCACACAGGAAGCTCTTTCTAAGTTTCCATATTAGGATTGTTTTTTTCTCTCTACAAACATTTCTTTGTAATTGACCACATTCTTCTTAAGAAGCAGTTCTACCTTGCATACAGACAAAAGAAAGTATATAAATAAAAGGTGTGAAATGAGCTAGACATCCTGCAGTTGTACCATTAATATCAAAATGTCAAATAATATGCTTGCAATTGTTCTTTCATACTGTTGCTGGGTAAAAAGCATTTTTTTAAAGCCAACTAGTCACTATCTTATACACTTAAAAAAGGTAAATGCTAAAATTCTTCCTCACCTCCTAATAATCCACATCTCTGGACTGCCTTCAGCACTCTGTTCTCCTCTCCACTGAGCGCTGGTTATGCCCTATTTTCTTCTATGTATTTGCCTTTACTTCACTTTGCATCTCCCCCCTGAATATTGATCTTAGTGATCTCTCAAAGCTGCTTCAGTAGCTGTAATACTGATAACTCGGTCCTTCATGACTAGAACATGACACGTACAGTAGGTCTATTGGATTCTGATTGGAATGCAATTTTAGGTTTATATAACAAATGTAACAGTGAAGGACACTTAAAATCATCTCGTATTAACGTTATTTTTTCAGTAATAAGCTGTTTCTGTTTTAGTGATCCTGAGTTCCACTTAGTCCATCAATCAACACCATGTGTGCATCCGGTACAGGGTCAGTCGTGCCGGTGCTGCGCTGCTCAGCCTGCAGGTCTCTCACGGCAGGAGTCGCGCCGAGTCCTGCACCTCACTGTCCGCTAGAGGGCAGCATCTGTCACTCCGAGTTCACTCCAGACGGGATTTTTTATTTTAAATACAAAAAGGGAAAATACAACAAACAGGGATACATACATACCGATATACCGATGTCTCAACATCACAACAAGGTAGCAACAAGTGAATGAAACAGGGGGAAAGAAATACAACAACAACAAAAAAACAGAAAAGAAAGCACTTTGTTCACAGTGCAGAGCTCCTGTGGTGTTGGGGGTTACATTAAATAAGTTTATTTGCTAAAAGACTTTTGTAGACCAACTCTCCAGGCTTATGTTTTAATATTTTCAGTGACTTAGAGTATAACTTGAATGAGTTGGAAGACTCTTTAAAGCTTATAGAAATATTTTGTACTCTACACGTGTGTATCTAAAATTTGCAAACAAGAGAATAACAGCATTATACGGACTTCTTTGTTTGGCTTCGAGACTGCGAGACCAATAACTTGAAAAGTGAGATGTACACGAATAGGACTATTGTATAGCCAAGAGCCACCAGTGCCAGAACGATGTTGAATGGTGACGTGAGACAAAAATGTGTTCAGTTGTTCGCAGACGGTGCAGGTGTAACAGTCAAAGTTGTACCGTTTTCTCAGAAATTCCTTAGAGGGATATATGTTATTCAGTATTTTAAAATAAATATCCTTGGTTTTTGGTAGCGTGGGGAGAGCCCAGCGGCTGCGGGCCCTGCTATTCACAGGGAAGGGCGACAGTAGCCCTGAAACTATTCAGTATTTGTTTTGGTTCTGTCCCAGGTTAAAACTTTTCTGGACTAAGTTGCAGACTTGTATTAAAAAAGAGACCAATATTGATATTTGTTTTGATGAAAACGATGTTATGTTAAGTTTCAGCCCCATCGAAAACAATATTAAAATTTCGTTTGTAATAAATTTAATTATTAAAATGGCACGTTAGTATATACATAAAATGAAGTGGTCTGGGAAGACCCCTGTGTTTGAGCATTTTAAAATGGATGTAAGGGGGAGTTTGCAGACTATTTCGACTATTTGTTACATGTACTCTTGTTTGTATTGTAATTTATGTTCTTTTGTTAAGCATAAATATAAAATTTTAAAAAAATTCACAGGGAAGGGCGGTGACGTCACCGCTCTGGTAAGCCAGCTCTTGCAAGCAATGGAGGCCGTATGAGGACGTGTTGCGTGCGGAGCTGCGTGCTGACCTCTGATTGGATCATCCCCAGTACGGTTTTTTATAACTTTTTGTTTGAACAATAACAACAACAACACACAATACAATACAAACAAGAGTACATTTAGCATATCAAAAATATTAAAGGGTACATATTACAATATAAATACACATGATGAAACAGAGTAAACAAAGATAAAGTCCGCACCGCTTTAAGGCTTTTATATTTCAAAATAGTCTGCAAATACGTCTTTAAATCTATTTTAAAATGTTCAAACGTAGGACTGTTCCCAGACCATTTCACTTTGTGTATAAATACGTTCAAGTTTATTTGTTAGTCCACCCATACGCAAGTATACAGAGGAGGGAGATATCGTTCTCCAGGTCTACGGTGCGAATACAGACAAAACACTGACAAGACAATGTATAGACGATGTAGCCATAGCCATTTTTTACCGGGTACATAAAGTGCAATGTGCAGAGTGCAATTTACTTTACACGATTGTAAACGTGCCAGTATAATAAATAACTAAGTCAACTGCAAACTATATTTTTGTATTATTTCCAATGGGATTGAAATTTCACATAACATCTATTTCTTTAAAACTTATATCAATATTGGCCTCTTTTATAATATAAGTTTGCAAATCAATCCAGAAGGTTTTTATCACAGGACATTACCAAAATAGATGTTGAATAGTTTCAGGGCCATTTTCACAAAATACACAGTTATCACCTATATACGTACGGAGCCGAGTATTGACCTCTGACCGGATCATCCCCAGTTCATTTTTTTATTAACTTATTTTATTGCAGCAACAAATGCGCATCGCCCAACTTTTTTAAAAATATTTTTTTATTTAAACACCAGAAATACAAAAAAGGAGACACTCCTAATAAGTAGTCACATTATCTTATTCCTAATAATAATCATTTTACGTCACCACCGTAAATCTATCATGATTGACATTAATGTTGACCAACGACGTGAGAAGAACAAGGAAGTGCGCAGATCGCCCGGTAGCAAATGATCTTTGCGAGGGAGCCAATTAACTCCTAAAATGTTGTGATTGAGTGTCCTTGCAGCCAATGGCGACACAGGGGCGGGCCCTTGTGACGGCTGTATCCGGCGGGTGGGCGGGCCGGAGGTCCTTGGCCCAGAGGCTCAGAGACCGGGGTTGCACGATCCGTCAGCCGACCGACTCCAGACTTCCACGCCGCCGCGTACGATGCCTCCCAGCGCCCAGCTCGACGAGAAGGTGTCGGGGATGAGAAAGGGCATCAGGGCGATTCTGCTCGGTCCACCCGGGGCCGGCAAAGGCACCCAGGTATGGGACAAGGGAGCAGTCCCGACTCGGCAGACTTCCTGTTCGCACGCGGGCAGCCCAGCAGCCAGAGGCTGATGACGTCTCGTGCGGCGGACCCTGGTGTCCAGCTGGGTCAGTTGTAGTAGGGAGCTGTGTCCCGGGCTCAGTACCAGCTAGTCCGGCTGTGCGCTCACTGCAGC